TCATCAACCTGGCTCCAGAAGCTTTGAAGCTTTCTTATATCTTCCCACACAGCCATAGCCCAGGAGCTTGGACAGGGCGTTACCATGAGTTACAGCAAGTCTCCTGCTGTCTCCTCCGAATTGCTAAAGCTCAGATCTTGTGCATGTCTGTCTTAGCAACTCCCTGACCCTTTCCTTGGCAGAGCAGAAAAGCCTAACGTAAATGAATTCTGCAGGAGGGTTTCCTAATACTTCTTTCTCATCCCTGCTCAGACCTGGGAAGCGATCTGGTGCGCTATGACGGCAGAGTACACACTCCTCATCTGGACAGGCTGGTGAGCGCCCGGAGCGTAAGTCCAACCACAGAAATGGTTTCAAGTGAATCTGTTGACTACAGATCAACTTTCCTAGAAGGTTAGTGCCTTTTATGAATCTAGACAGATGATGCCTTTTTATACACCCTGCTTTTCAGCTGTCATCAGATGGTAGCTATTTTGACTAAAACTTGATTACAATTTTTTATCTGTGTATCCGCTGTTTGGGACATTCATGCTCATAGAACAGAGCTTCACAGGTGCTTCCCAAGATCAGGATGCAAAGGAATTTTTTAAACTTCTTTTTCTGTTGGAGGAGCTGGTGGATGTCAGGATTTTGTGTTATCTTGAGGTCCATACTATGGGCAAATCCAGCCTGCAGAAGTGATTTTAAGGATGACAAGAAGTGGCTCCAGATTTAGTGTGTCTCTGCGAGTTCATATATAGTCATTATAAATCCATTCTGTCAGCCCTGCATGAGAAATGAATTTCTGTAAATGGCTACTCTTTCTTCTGTTCGTGCCTCTCCTATAAAGGCAGCAAAGTGGCATCTGTATGACCCAGAAATATTCATTTTAAAAATTAAACTACCGGGGCTATAAAAACTGTCCCAGTTTGGCTGAGGTTCATGTGTCCTGGTAGGCCAGCTCAGAAAACACATTGTTTCACTTTCAGGTCTTTGAGCATGAGGGAAGAATACTTTTCTGCTGAATGTATTTTTATGGCTTATAGCACCATTCTTCTTAGTCTTGGTGTAGGTATAGTCTGTACTATGTCAGGTGCTGCTGTATGCAACTTAATAGAAACCACCCAAATCAGGCCAGTTCCCAGTTTCCTCTATGATTCTTTAATTGCAGCAGTCAGCTTGCACAGGATGTTTCTTGATTGAAGGATTCCCAATGGAAAAGGGAAGCCTGTGCCAGCGGTTAGAAGGGAAAGTGGTTGAGAAGTTGCAACAGAGACAAAACTATGCTAAAATCCTTAGTGGAGGGCAAGTCTCCAGTGATCCTGAGGCCACCGTGCACTGCCAAAGTACAGCAGGGAATGCACCAGAGAAGTGGATTCATTTACTGAATATTCCTGAATGAATATTCAGTTAAATTACTGTAAAAGAATAAAATGTTAGAAACATTAGAAAGCATGCAGGCTTACATGTAGCAACTATAAAAACTGCTTTGCAATCCTGGATAAAGTATTTTGCCATACTTATTAAATAGATATTCGCCTTTGATAACACAAATATGGCATGGTAAATGGAAGAATTTGTATTTTTGCTTCTAGATAGAGCAACACTGAGTTTTTCTTAGCACCTGGAGCAATAACATTAATGTTATATAAAAACTTTCCAGGTTTTGTTCATAAATATATAAAGCATGTCAGTGCAACAACTCTCTGATAAAATATGTGATAATTGATGTTGTTAAATTGTTGTTAAATTAAATCCTCTCACACTTTTTTTTTTCTGTCCTTCGGCAAAATTCTGCCTATTGACTCCACTGTAATGATTCTAGATTAAAATTGTGCTAATATAAATTTAGCTTCTTAATTCTACTACAAGTTATTATGAAGAGCTTTTAAATAAAAGCAATTTAAAATACCTGAAAAACATGTTGTTGATAAAAATAATTTTTTCGGATAAATACTCCTTGCTTAACAGAAATGGTTTAATTTCTGCTATTTTAAATTAGCTGGCTTATGTTATTTGCATGTGTAGCACCAACTGTATTATCTTCAGCAGTTACAGGATATGAATCACCTCTAGGCATTTCCCTGGTTGAATATTTACCATTGGATAAATATAGCTAGTCACCAGCAGTTAGGAAATCTTCATGAAATGTAAGGTTCCTTACCAAATTAGAACCTACCAATAATAAAAGTTTCATATTTTTAATTGTTTACTATTTCCTCCGCTCATTTTACTGTCATCTTCCATTTGACTCTTGATACTCCCAATCACTAGAAATCCCACAGGCTGCACTTGGCAAGAAACATCAAGGCCTCATTCCATCCCCTCAGAAAAGCAGAAGTTTTGCCACTTACTTTTCTATAAAATCAGGGCTGAGATTAGCATAAGTTTCTAGTGACATGGTTTCCCTGGAGTTTGGCAGATCAGCAATGCATTTTTTCATTTTCCCTTTGTGACTGAAACTTCTGCAAAGCCAAGCCACTTCCACACTGCTAAACTCAAACACTTGATCACCAATGAAATAAAGCTGTCTGTTTTCCAAGGAGCATTCTGTCTGGCAGGATTGTAACCGTTTCTGTTTGCCTCGCAGACCAGTTTCCGAGCATGTCGCAGAATGGCTCATGCCGACCGGCGCAGTATCCTCATTCTGACCTCTCCCCAATTCTGTCCAGTGGGGACTCAGATTTAGCCAGTCCGCTGCTCCAAACTAATGTCCACATTGATATCAGTGCCTTAAATCCAGACCTGGTCAAGGAAGTCCAGCATGTGGTCATCGGTGCTGACAGCCTGATCGTGCACTTCAGTGAAGTAATAGGACGAGGTGGGTACCAGGACTCTCACCTAGCAAATATGGGTTCCTTCCACATGGCCGTTATAAAATGGTCTGAATATGGTGACTATCTGCAGGTTTATCGTTTTTACCTCTTTCAGTACTGCATCCCTTCCACCAAATCAAGGGGAGAGTAAAGGGCATGAGGCCTTCTAAGGCAGATGAAGGGTTGTGTTGGAGACAACAGCAGATAGGAGAAGGAGTCTGCTATTTATTGGGACTCCTTTGAACTGAGAGACCTGCAGGTCCCTCTAAGCTGCCTCGCTCGCATTTCATAGTCGTGTCATTCACTGGAGAGGACGGCCAGGGCCACCACTCCTGGGGTGCTGGGGAGACTACAGCAGCCTCACAGGAGCCTAAGGCACAAGCCTTTGGGGCAGAGGATGCTGAGGCAGAGACTTCCTAAACTGTACACACGAGAGTTGAGAGAGCTACATGACATTGAAACCTCTGCAGTCTCCAGCCGCACTCCGTAAACGTCAACGTGAGGCAGCTGAAGGGCACATGCCCATTCTTCTCTGCAGGTTCCTTCTGTGCTGCTTTGCCCCACTTCGAGGTCAGGAATTTCCTTCGCTACCTGCTTCTTCATATCACAAGCGCTCTGGTGCCTCTCATTCCTCTCTGCAGCTCAAGAACAGCCCCGTGTAACTCCCAATTCTCTTCCCTTTGCTCTTGTCCCTGGCATACCAAGTCCCCTTTTTCTTGACCTTATCATCATCCTTATTCCTTTACCTCTCCTTCAGCAGGTTCCTTTCTTCTTTCACAACCCAAACAAATATTCTCTCAGTGACATTTTCTAAAAGCTATGTGAAGAACCTATCATAACTCAAGTGGAAGCTGAATTTTCAGTACTTCTACAGATTACACAGAAGAGGTGTCCTGTTGAATGTCAGAAAAATGATTTAAAAATTGGCTGTAAATGATATTCCTAATGCATCTTCTTCAGGAAAAGAGCCACGAATCAAATAAACAATCACTGTTTCCCGTCCACATATTACACTTCTTCATTCCCAAAGCAAGGGTGGGCCCTTTTCTTTTCTTTCTTGTTTCAGAGAAAGCCAAGCTATTCCCATTTTAAATGCTGAAAAATATGACACCAATATAATTAACCTTTTTTAATTTTCTCCTAGAAACTAGGAATGAACCAAAATCAAAAATATTGCAGACACACCCGATTTAGGATTTGTGCCCAGGTTCCAAATGATCTGTGCTCTGAAGGGATTTTAGCTGCTTTTATAAAACAAACATTGTGTTAATTTTACCCCAAGCCAAAATCAAAGCCAATTGGGCTCTGACCAGCGCTTATGACTGGAACCTAAGTAGGATGATTGAAATAGACTTGTTCTCTGTGCTGAGCTCATACTTGACAAAATTATTTTGCTAACTGCATATATTTATATTTTTAAATGCCCAGTAAATGATCCATTTGTGAAGAAAAACAAAATTACATGTAAATAATTTGATCTGGATAATTTAGTGCCTATGCCTGGAGTTCAGATTTCTCTGTGTTTCCCAAATGGGCCAAAGTAAGTTCTAATATGGAGCTTCCCCACTCTGCCACCTACTCCAATTCCGTGACAGGAAAGCACAGGATCAGTAAGGATTTCTGTGTCCCCAACAGTTTATTTCTATCAGCATGAAGGCAAGTTATGCTCAGCATTTTTAATGTTATTTCCCACTAGGAAGAGGACCATAGCAGAAATCATAGACTCACTGATACCACAAACTGCCTCTTAGTGATGTGGTCAGCAGCAGTGGTTCCCAAAGTTTTGTGACCAGCACACCACTCAACACTCCATAGCAGAACAAGGAAGACCATAAGCCCACTCTGACCTCCTTGTACAGCTGAAGACCGATAAAGGCTGTGCAGTTTTGAGAACCGTGTAGTGGAGGCTTGGAAACCATTGGTCCAGTAGTCACAATCGGTTCCTTATAACTCCTCCTTTGGGCCTTCCCATGCCCTCCTGTGACCTATAACCAAGAAAAGAGTATGCTGGGAAGAGGCTAATATGTTTTTTGTGTGCATGGTCATTATAAGAATATGAAGCAGTTGTGGCGCCAGCCTTCTCATTATTTATACTTTCCACCTAGTCAGAATATCTCAATTATGCTGCAAATAAATAGAGTTTTCATTTTATGTAATGATGATTTTATGTAATTCTGCTTTTATGTGTTATATACTTGCAAGTGTTGGGAATTGGACAACAGTGGAGTGTGATCACTTTGTTAAAGCATAATCATTAGACAGTGGAAAATACCAGAAAGCTAATTTTACTCAATAATCTTACTCATTTTTTACACAGGACATTTTGGGTGTGTGTACCATGGGACATTGCTGGATAACGATGGCAGGAAAATTCATTGTGCCGTGAAGTCACTGAATAGTGAGTTACATGTTTAATAGTGAGACATTACCATAACTCCAGAAATAACCAGAGTGCCTTATTAATTACAGTAAAGTGTACTTTCAAAAATAAAAATTCATAGTTGCAGATGGATTTATCTCTGGAGCAACTGACTTTAGATTGCCATGAGGCATTGCTATGTATTTGTTCATCAAATGAAATGTCTATGTCTTCTCTACAAAGAAAGAGATAGAAGAAAATTAGGGAAAGGCAGTGTAAGAAAATAAAGGAAAGGCAGTGTCATTTCCTATTTTACTGAAGGCAGCATCATTTCCTATTCTACCAATTATTTAAGATTGTTTTTGCAAGTAGAATTGCTAAACATTAGGCAAAACTGCTGGAAAAGCAGGAGCATACTATATCAGAATTTATTCCAAGCTTTTCTTAAGTTTGCTTTTCAATTCTAAATAATTTACACTAAGAAAAGGAGAAAGGGAATTAACATTACTAACAACCAGTGTATTTGGTCATTGTAAGAAAATCTATGCACAGACCCTAGTTGTAACCAGGGAATTGGGGAGTATATTTGTAGTTTATCATTACCACTTCTGCTACACTATGATTTACTCTAAAGAAATGAACTGCAGTTCGATTTTTTTTTTTAATTTTACTTCATTTTATTATTGAATTTCTCAGGGATTACAGACCTGGAAGAAGTAGCTCAGTTTCTGAAAGAAGGAATAATCATGAAAGATTTCACTCATCCCAATGTCCTGTCCCTCCTGGGAATATGCTTGCCCAATGAAGGATCCCCCCTAGTCGTCCTTCCATACATGAAACACGGTGATCTCCGAAACTTCATTAGGAATGAGACGCATGTAAGTACACACTGAGGTCTACCAAATGCTAATGTAAGTCGAGCCACTCCCTGTTCCAACACCACATGCTATAAACTCTGATAATTACATTATATATATAACGTGTTGCTCTTACTCTGCCTTAACCTTGGGCACTTGCTCGGTTGGCCCTGAGCCAGGCCACAGCACTGCCACTCCTTCCCTTCCCCCTCCAAATTCCTTTCTAGAATGTTTCCCAGAAATTATCAGCAATAAGTATTTTTCATTTCCCATCCCTAAACCTCTTTATAAACAAATGTGTTTATTAGATTTAAGTCAAGGGGCCCAACCATCTGCTGGTGTAAACTGGCATCTCTCTGTTGACTCCAGTACAGCTGTGCCAGTCATCACCATCTGCTCTTCTGTCTCTATACGTCGCCTAGATAAGAGATCTTAATGTCGAGATAAATACTGTTACAACTCCTGTTACTATCAATATTTTTCTTATTATCTTAACAAAGAAAAACAGCAATGGCTGTACAAATTATGAGTACTCTCATATCAGTGATTTTCCCACTTTCATTAAAAGACTCTAAAAGGCTACAGATTTCTCAAATATGCCTCACTGCTTCTCCCAAGTATGTAACCACAAGTCTTGCCTCATGTAGTTGCCTGAGCCCATTTTATGGTATAGACTTTCACCCATTTTGCAGTGTTGTGATAAAGACTTGTGAGTCACTGCGATTTGGCTCCTATCTCTATGGCAGTCAACAGTAGCAGCAAAGTAGAAACAAAAGATATGCATGTGTCTAACAAACTGTTGGGGGAGTTGAGCTTTCTGACCGCTCAGGGACCTCTTCCCTTTTCTGTTTGTTCCACTCCACAAGCACCAAGTACCTTGTCTGCAACTAGTGCCAATGGGCTTTCCTCTAATACATAGAATAATAACCTCAGTTGAAGAAGATTGTTTCACTGAAAAAAAAAATTATATGGAGCATGTGAACAACACAAAAATCTGTGGAACCTTACTGTTGCATAACAGGTCATGCTGCTGTATAAAAGAGTCACGGGTTTATATTTAAGAATTTCAGTAAGATCTCGCCAGTACCTTGAAAGACAGCTAATCAGTTGCCAACATCTGTGGAAAATCTACCTTTTTGGGTGACTGTTAAGGTTTCAGTTGTCTTTTCCATGACAAAATATTGATGGTAGCTCATACCCATTTTGCTTCAAATAAAGTTTATTTCTTTATTGGTCATTTTCAGCTGATGAGCTCCATAGTTAGCATCTTCTACTGACTTACTCTAGGTTCACAAATGATGAGAGATTCCAATTTACCGTTCCACCTCCCAGGCCAGCTCATACTGGTTATGTTACAAACTCCACAATTCTAGAGTCTGTTAGTTTTGTTGTTTTTTAAGGTGTGTTTTCTCACTGGAGGAGAGAACTTGACCTAAATTTATGCCAGTTTTATTATGAGCACTGACCTGTCTTGATCATTCTGGTGGCAAAACAGGTGGGTCAAAAGCTGAAAATTGTAGCAAAAAAAGAAAGCTATTTGTCCTTCTGCATTCACTATATCACTGAAAGTATTACAATTGTGAAACATTTATTTTTTACAGAATCCAACAGTAAAAGATTTAATTGGATTTGGCCTCCAAGTTGCAAAAGGGATGAAATACCTTGCAAGCAAAAAGTTTGTCCATAGAGACTTGGCAGCACGAAACTGTATGTAAGTACATACATACATCTAATTCCAGCACATTATCACATTCATTTGTGTAAGACAGTAAACAGGTAAATGCAAGCTTCCAGGGCTCTCTTTTTTTAGTCAAAATAGGTTTTTTTTTCATTGTTCGGCAATTACACTGATGTTTGAGTTGCATACTGATGAGCTACTCAGCTTGCTAAAGGCTCACTTCTTACACATAAGCTTTTGTAAGTGTGGGAAATAAGAACAGATGAGGTGAAAGTGTAGGCTCTCAAAATCATTGGTTAGAGAATTTAAAAGGAATCTCCTCAAGGGAAGTTAAGCTGCTGTTGTCTCAACTTGCAGTGCTTCCACCAGCTCTTCAGAAGCCGCACGTCTCGGCTGCCGCACCTAGCAGTGGGGAGAGGAACACGGTGGAACTCTGTGAGAAAAATGGGAACACAAAGAAATAACAAGTCCTCCCGACAGCAATCTTTCATTACATGAGTATGAGCTTAGTTTGGCTCCATTCTACGTAAAAGCTAACGCTGAAAAAGAAGAGTATGCAAAGAATCTGACTAGTTATCTGTGTGGCCAGACAGTTCGGTTCACACATTTACTTATACAGTAGTTGCTGATACTACTATGTTGATTCACCATCTATGTTGTGAACTAATAGGATACAGTATTAAATTTAGAGCTTATTTTTAGCATGTGATAATTTGGAACTCCAAACATCTGTAAAAAGATTGTTCACCTGTCATGATAGACTCCTGTCATCTTTGTCTGTGTTTTCGTTTTCAAAGTGTGCATATTTGTGCAGTTTCACAACCTCTGGAAAAAAAACATTTACTTGCAGCTGTTGTTTTCTTGAGGTAGCAAAAAAAAAGTAATGAGAAATGCATTTTTTAGGTTTCCTAAGAAAAAATGAATTGGCTTACTAGATAAAAGGCCCAACTCATCCAATCCAAGTCCTAGCAGTGACCACAAGACCGTCTTTTCTTTGGTGGAGAGGCTAACAGCTCTTGGGAGATCTTACTGCAACATGGTTTGCCAGAGAGGTTATGGACTCTCCATCCTTGGAGATAAATTCAAAACCCATCTGGACATGCCTCAGAGAAACTTGCTCTTGTTGATCCTGTTCTGTGCAGGGGGTTGGACAAGGTGATCTCCAGAGGTCCCTGCCAACCTAGAGCAACCTAAACATAGAGATGTCTCCAAGTAAAATGGACGGTAGTCTTAAGTATACCAAGGCTCATGCTCTATTTTCTGTCAATGATACCGCTTGTTAGTATAAACACTGAGCTTAGGAAGAGCAAAACCAGGGAGATCCTCTGGTATGTTTGAGCTATAACCAGTTCAGAATTCTTACGCCTTTCCAACCTTGCCCAGTAACCATTTCACTGTGGACACACAACACTTTCTTAGTTAGGAGACTAAGTTATTAGATATGGACAGTCATTGGGATAATGACAGGTCCTTCCTCATCCAAATTGAGAATAAATAGGAAAGTGATACCTTGATTTGTAAATAAAAATGAGAGCTTTCTAAGGATAAGGAAGAAGGAACAACTGTGGAAGTAATGATGCAGCAATCAGTATCAAGATGTATAGGCCATTAGCAAAGATCTTTTTCTACAGAGCTGTTGTTTTAAGAGAACCGTAATTTGAACCGCATTATCAAAACAATATTAGTAATTTCCTGAGTTCATTCACTGTGTTAAATGGGTATCAAATATATTTACTGCACTGTCTCTTTTACCATGGCATTAGTTAATAGATGCAAGATAAAGGACTGTCTTCCAAAGTCACAGCCTCAAAAATGCGAGTCAGTCATTATAAGCCACCATCATTGTAAATCCCATCTGCTCAGCTACAGCTAATACTTTCTGTTGTTTCTGTAGGTTGGATGAAAAATTCACTGTCAAGGTTGCTGATTTTGGTCTTGCTAGAGATGTCTATGACAAAGAATACTACAGCGTGCACAATAAAACAGGAGCAAAACTGCCAGTGAAATGGATGGCTTTAGAAAGTTTACAAACTCAGAAGTTCACAACAAAGTCAGATGTGGTAATGTACAAACATATTTGTATCATCTGATAATTTCTCTCCTATTGCCAAAGGCATCTTTCTAGCATTTGATGAATGGACTAATTCCAAAACAGAACTTGTGTTTGCATACAACTTTAATTCACCTAAGAATAAGAGACTGTTTTCATATCCAGAAAGGGTATTTGCCCCAGCCACAGAGCAACACCTGATTACCTGTTAATGCTCAGGAAAGCATTAGGAGTTAAATCCAAGGGAAACTAAGGATGCACTAAGAAACCAGGCTGGAGCTGAATCCTGCTATAGGAAGGGCTCTGGAAAGCTTGACAAAACAGGTTAACTTTGATACTCTTAAAATTTAATAGGTCTCAAAAAGACTTTATTTGCTTTATAAATTGCTGCCTACAGCAATTTAAATATTACCTGGCCATTTATGAAGGAAAATATATATATATATAAACTGAAATTATTAGTTGGCTGGATCACTTTGTGTTTTAGCCATCAGATTTAGCCAGATTCAAATTAGCTTGTGATGCATAGAATTTTCACCAGGTATATTTGCTTCAGTATGTATTTACACAGAGTTAATCAGATCATCAGCTCATGTAAACTGGCAGAGCTGCATTAACCTCAAAAGAGGCCAGCCAATTTATACCAGTTAAGTAGCAGGACTATAGGCTTTTATTTTGCTTTCATTTACTTAGCTGAGTTTCTCTGGCTCTAATTTAAGTGGTTCCCCAAGTCCCTACAGCATTTATTAGTCCACTTAAAAGAAAACTGAATGCAGTAAAGTAACTTTTCAAAGGCAGAATCCATGCATTTGAATGCTTAAATCTGTCAAACCATGTTCTAAAAGTGGAGTGTAAAGCTCTCCAACCCAATGATTTATTATTTTTTCTTTGTTTTCTAGTGGTCCTTTGGTGTGTTGTTATGGGAACTTATGACAAGAGGGGCACCACCTTATCCTGATGTAAATTCTTTTGATATAACTGTTTACTTATTACAAGGAAGAAGGCTACTACAACCTGAATACTGCCCTGACCCACTGTAAGTAAATAGGTGCAAAATCTTCTGCAAATGCTGCTGATTTGATGTCCCTTTTTTACATGATTTCATAATCTTTCACTTTTATTTGAATGGCAGGTATGAAGTCATGCTGAAGTGCTGGCATCCAAAACCTGAGATGCGGCCTGCATTTTCTGAACTTGTTTCAAAAATATCTACCATCTTCTCCACTTTTGTTGGGGAACACTACGTTCATGTCAATGCTACTTATGTCAACGTGAAGTGCATTGCGCCCTATCCTTCTCTTTTATCATCACAAGACAACACAGACACGGATGTAGACACATGACGGGTATGTCTGAAACAGAGGAAAATCCATTCTTAGTAGTATGAACAAAAAGCAAAATATTTTGTCCACTACTTTTCACTGCCCAGTCTTTGTGAGAACACCATTGCACATGTTTATGTTGTTGCCCAGGTTGCACTAGTACAAGGTCATGATACTGTGTTGTTAAAGTCTATTGGATTCTATAAACCATCACAGCAATTTTCAACTGTTTGGACAACTGCATCACTTTACCAAATGGAAATCCTTGTGTGCTACCATCCAGTGCTAGTGCCCACAGTTCTCACTAATTTGTGCTCAGACCCAAGCACAGGATTTGTCATCAGTACCATGAAGGAGAATGTAGCATATCAATCACTAAGGCTGGAAGGACTGTTATGGTTGCACGTGCTTTAGGAAAATGAGCAGTGCAGACAGAAATGGTTTTCACACAAAAGGCCAAGACAAACAATAAGAGTTACAAGACTGCAAAACATATTTTTCTCCTGCACAGTCCAAAATTTGGCGCTTTTTTTTTTTTTTTTGCACTATATCAACCAGATTTCTTGGAAGACAGGCAGCCACGAGAGCCAGCCTCATGGCAAATGTCTAACTACAGAAGTCAGCATTAAAAAATGGCATGCCATAACATATGCATGGCAGCCTTGCCAATCCTCTGCTGTAGCCAGGCGGTACATAGCACGAAACAAAAAGCACCTAGCTTAAAGCATCCCTAGTGCCAACCTTATTCGAAACATTCTTCTATTTATTTTAGTAGCACTCTGTATTGACAGATGTCTTATTGAAAAACTTGAAGCCTCCGTTTCTTTCAGTAATGAATTAACTTCTCTCTGAGAAAGAAAACATGAAGGCATCCAAATTAAGTACCCAGTAGAGGCCGCACCGTTGTAGGGAGCAGGAGGAGCGGGGCAGGTTGGCGGCTCATGCCAGCCCCAAGGACCTGAGGGGGGTGATCAAAAGGAGAAACAGTGTTAGGCCCCCTAGCCTCTCCGCGGCTCATAACCATCCAGTGGACTATGACATCCGTTTTAACTTCCAAATTAGGACCAAAACAACAATGTTGAAAAGAGAGAGTAAGTAAAACTTGCATTCGTTAGGGAAGTGTACTGTAGCTTTAGGGCAAGCATCACATGTCATTTCTGTTCCTGTGGAATTCTGTGCATACTACTGTATAGCTCCTTTAGTATAGGATAGAACTGGGTTTGTTGGTGTAAACACATAAAGTATTCTATTTTTATATTAAAAAAAACTTTATTTTTAATGACATTTACAAGGTTTGGTTAGGCCACAAAAATACTGCACTGTGAACATTTCAGAAAATGTATGTCAACATACATGATTCATAAATTGTAGCAACCTTTAAAAAATACTGTGTAAATATTAAGAAGGAAAAGAACTGACTGCAAACGCACTCCACCCTAAGTGTAATATCTCTGTTGCTGCAAGCCAACCATTTTAACATACTGAAAGAGAGATACTGCGGATAAAGAACTGATATAGGGGAGATTTATTGTTCTTAGAAGACCTTGTTATAACTGCAAGATTTATAATGAGGGCAGAGTGCGTAGGCAAACTATGAGTAGATACTATTGTGTTTTACTTCATCACCACTTTCATTTCAGAAAAACTTTCATGTCTGCTGAGAGCAATACTAATTGTGGATTGCTCAAGGACAAAAGGCTTTGCTGCAGGCAAAAAAATCATCTCTATGGTTGTTAAAACAGCTAAGGAAGTTTATGACACACAGATTTGGAGAAGATACTCCAAACTTGTACATACATGCTTGAGGAACGCTGCAATGTGAAACAGAGGACATTTTTACTATTTATGAACTTTTGCTTAATAAAGTTAATGTTGTGTCTGGGACACCTGTAAGAATATGTGATTCTGCTAAAGATTTGATGTTAGTAAGTTCATATATCTGCAAAAGAGCTGAATGGTACTTATGTTTATAGTTGTTGTTATGACCTAATAAACATATTAAAATGAATTATTGTAATACTTCATTCTCTGAGTGCTGTTATTACTGTTAACACCTGACCATTAAGCTGATCGAAGGCTCTATGCTTTTGCTGACTAACCTGGGAAGAGCCACCTGTGGGGCTGCACCAAAGAGGGCTACAGGACTAAACTTAGAAGGATAAAAAATATGGAGATTGCTCTAATAGATCAAAATGACAGTTCATCGCTTCTTAACTATATGCTTCAGATTGAAAAGAAGAATATTCTGTAACGAACAATTATGGCCTAGTCTGATTAGAAAGTCTCTTCTCTAACCACAGGCCTCCTTGCAGAGCCTTAAAATTCTCTATCTACTTTGCATCGGGGTGAGCTTTGTAGCTCATAATTTAGGTGCTATGAAGAGTAGTTTCTTGTCCCAACAGGGATGTTGCTCCTTGCATTCAGTATCCAGGCTCCCTATGCAGTCATCAGAAAAGGTCCTTTCAAATGGCCATTAAGAGCAAATATCTTTCTCTGTTGTCTACATAGGAGCCTGTGCATTTCTAATAGCCAACTTACAGGCATTGGAATTTCTCCTAAGCTAAGGAGAGAGGAGCTAAACAGACAAGAAACTTCCAGTGCAAATGTGTGCTTGACTCCACGCTCTTCATGCCTATCCATCACATATATCTTTCCCAGGAAGCGCTCTAGATCCATGACTCCTAAAGCAGTTCTATTCCGGGAGTCCTGGTTATCTTGGAGGAATACGCGGCACCCCACTCTGCTCTGCATTTCCACGTCTCGGCTCCACGTGCTCCAAGCAGCAGCGTGTGCCCTACAAGCACCGTGGTGCTCCCGTGCTCGCCGCGACTCTGCCCCAGGCGGCAGCACAACCCAGCTCCTCCAGCCACCTGCCTTGGGTGGCACTCGGCGTGCAATGTTTATGAGCAGTTTAAACGTAAGAATCACAACAAATCTTGCTCAGAGTCTCAACTGATCAACAACACCATTTGTATCCTCTTGTAATTTCAAAATACTGAGGAAAGCAACATCAAAACATTTTCTCCAGATTAGTTTACTTCTTGACAGAAAACTGATATGCTCAGTTTCAACTCAGAATGTAATCTGGGGGAAAAGGCATTCAAAGCAGCAGCTAAGAAAAAAATATCCTTCTGTTGTGTCACAAGCCTATTCCAGCTAAAAGGCCTGACGCTTTTTAATTCTAATAGCTTCTATCTATTTATTTTCCAATACATTTGCAGGATTTCTCTGAAAAGTCAGATAAAAGCCTTCAAGCTTTTATTGCATGCAGATATTAATACCAGGGTCTTCAATATAAAATGGCATAACACACAGCAAAATGAAGGGCTGCATCTAAATGCCAGATTTGTAATGCATTCTTCTGATTCCTCTATATGATTTTTAAGGGCTGTTATATATTGTGTATTGAAAGACTCAACAGAATCACAAGCTTTGCATGTTCAGTTAAACATCCCAGTAACTTTATTTAGATCAGGTACACTGCATCAGATCTTCAGCTGACTCAAATAGACATTAATATTAGCAGTGGATGTGTTCAAAAAGTAGAATAAAACATATCCTGTGGGGAAAAAAAGAAAGAAAGAAAATAAAAGCTAGGGAATTCCTCACGACACTGCAGTTAACAGAAATTTGCTCTTGATTAAACCCAAACTTCCTAAGTGCAATATTAACTCATCCATTCTAAATAACTTGTCCATTTTACAGAAGATTTTTAAAACATACAACAAGAATATCAAAAGGTCTTCAAAACAACAAAGATGGGATGGTGTACCATTGGGTTGCTAAGGTTTTGCATATTATTAATTTTCTGTCACCACTGTTAAGTTTAATCATCAAAAATGAACTTAAATGCCTTCTGTAAATAATGAATGATATGTTAAAACTTTTGCTACAGATTCACAAGTAATTTAGGCAAGGAACCATAAATGGCATCAAAATAATTTTTTGCCTTATGAATTAAACTCTGCCGTAAGAAATTTAATTTCTGGAATTTATCCATAACACTAAAGCTCAGAAAAAAAGTAACAGCAAATAAATTGCATCCAAATGAGTTCTTTGCTCACTAAATATGTATCCCTGAGAAATTCCAATTTCCATTATTTTTTACAAATAGGTCATGAACTAAGTATTCCGAGCATTGAAGAAAGACACAGGAAATCTTAGTATTTTGCCAGCTCTGCTAGTACAAACATTTACAAGAAATTCTGATCTCATAAATAGCACGGAGATTTCAGAGCAACTTGATTGATTCAACTGACACCAGGACAAATGAGATCGGTAGCTCACTCTGGAATTGTAACTGTGTGCTCCGACTTTAAAAGTGAATTTGCTTTTTGAAAACCTCATCCTCCTCTAATGCTAAAGGTGTAATCACTTTTAATGAGACTGCTGAAAGACTGTTTTTCTGATTAAGGTCAAGCACTTGCTGCCTCTCCATGACCTCCTGCAGGACAGAGAGAAGAATTTCTATCTTGTGTTGTTAAGGAGCACCACCTCTTTGGCTGATAGCACCGTTAACGGGCGTGCTTTCCTTTCCCGAGCCTCCTCAGGACACCATGTGCCCCAGGAGAGGCTTTGGCTGAGCCGAGGGAGGGAAGTCTCTGCCAAGGTTGGCCCAGGGGAAACCTCCCCACAGAAAGGCCATTGGGGCAGTTCAGCTGAATCAGCCTTTTAAGTGATATGAAGAATAACCTGGGCTTTTACTTGTTAGCTTTTTCAGGGTTAGAGGGAGAGGCATGTTCAGATTTTTTCCTCCTTCTGTGCCTTCATCCTTTCCTCCCCAGGTCTGAAGATGGCACAGAGAGCTTTAGGGGTAACGGATTTGCAGAGCCTGCACCCAGGATCCAGAGTTCAGCAAAGGAATTATCCTTCATCCACGGATTTAAGTGAAAGTAGCCAGAAACTGTAGGTTGGATTTGCTATGATTTTGTTTGTGCAATGCAAACCAGAATGCCCACCAAGGGTGGCCTTACGCTTGTGCTTCTCTCCCTCGGCAGTCAGTATTTTGCCACAGCCCTGTGCTGTCAGGAGGTCCTTCAGGACATGCAGAACATCCCTTTGCATTCATGATGGCAATCTGACAGAAGAGTCACCCGTGTTCAAACCTCTGCGGGTTTCTGCAAATATCATGAGTTAATACTTGCCAGACTTGTAATTACCCATCTCTGGTATAAATGACATCTGAATATCCTCCTCTGGATATGAGGAGTGTCACTGCCAAGAACTTTAGGGTGCATGACCAAACATGGACACTTCTGCCATCATGTGTTTGCAGCGAACTGTGGCTGCTGGCATGATTGCAAAAAGAGAAGGAAAAAAAAAAAGAAAAAAATGTGAATCTCAATTAGCTAGGGAAAAAGAAAAGGAACTTCAGACAACAGTGATATATTTCTCTCTCCATTGTGCAGTGCAGTTCAGTAAAAAAATAAAAACAATCTAAGAAAGGCGGTTCGGTGACTGCCTGTTGGAGCTTATAAATCTAGAAATAGTTGGGAACTCATGGCAAATACACACAATATTATGAAAACATGTATACCCTAGTCAGCAAATAGGCCGTAACAAGGAATGAGTCACAACAGCTCCAATTGTATAATAATGGTTTTCTTAAGCGTAGAAGGTGATTGCTACAGGAAGAACAACCAGCTTCACAAGTTAAGCAGACTATAACCATGTTACTTGCATTTGGTAGAGAAACATAATTACCTGAATAGCCTTTTCATTCACTTTCAGTTACTGTAAACAGATCTATTGAAATCAGACTGGATATTAACTTACTAGCAAGACCTGCTACGTGGCCACGAGTGTCATAATAGGATTCCAAGTATTTCCCTCTAGGGTCAACGGCTCAATAATTTTAAAAATGTTTCAGCAATGCTTGTGTCCCAATACACCTTAGAAACCACCAAAATGTTACAGGTCTTCCCAGAAATTTTGAAGAGCAGCTCTGAATCAGATGGGAAGATGGGAAGAGGACAGGAGTTTTTCAGACCCACACAGTCCTCATGAGAGTTTAAACATGTCACTGAAGTAACAAAACCAAACTTACCTTGTTGACAAGTGTAAACCTGGGCTGTTGTATGAAGTGCAAGTAAACAAAGGGCATCTATTCCAAGACTATTTCTACTTCTTTTTGTGAATATTAAATGTACTTGAAGGTATCCTGGAAAAGTTTTTTGTGCATTTGCAACAAATAAAATGATCAAATGTGTTTTCTAGGTATCTTGACATTAATTGATAGCATGAGAGATTTTTTAAAAACCTCACAAAAACACAAAGAAAGCTATTTCAAAATATATTTATGTCTTTGTCATATGTATGAGAAGATTCTGTTCCTTCACGATACATCTGCCAGTATATTTGGATAAATGAAGGAAATTCTCCTAAAATAGCAAAACTGAGCCAGTAGGGGAAGGTTCACACAAATTAGTTTTGGATTATTTGGCAGAAGCTATAGAAGTCTCTACAATATTTGAGTGTTCTGTCTACTGGAACCAAACTACCAAGTACCTCCTGCTTTTTCATGTCTCCAGTATCTTCACACCACCAGTAGGCCGCAGAATATGAAGGTTCTATGTGCAAATGTTTTTCTGTTTTCGTTTGGGTTTTTTTTTGGACAACATTATTTCTTGTGGGCAATTCTCAATAGGAAGATAATGGATGGATGGTGATAGTCAATATACATAACTCCTTATCTTTGGGCTTTGAACGAAGCATACCACTTTGGCCAATCACCCGCTTCCAAAGTTCTTACCACCTTCCCTACAGAACTTACCAGCACTATATAAAAAATTATATAGTCCTATATTTTACTGCATAAAACCTTAAATGATGTTAAAATACTAACTTCATTGCGAGGAAATTGGTGGCCCTGAAGGTTTACAGCCTATACTAAAAGCCACTAACAAATATCCTTCCTTAATGAAATACTTGGTTTGGATCATATTTGTCATACTGTATTTATGCATTTGCCTGCCAAGTAGATATTATAAAACAGGCTCATTCATAACTCCTAATTAAGGCAACTCAACATATATGAGCAGCATGACAAGTCTGGTATTTTTCAGCCTAAATTCAGACTATTGAGTTCTCATTTCAGAGAAAAAAGAAAAAACAAAACAAAACAAACAAACAAAACTCTTCCTTTCCCACCTGAATGACAATACAGGAACTTTGTTCATTGTTCATATGTTCAGTCACAATCAGGAAATTACAAAGAGTGACGAGATCAACGGATTTGACTGCTCAAGGTAGCCAGCGCTATTTTCTGCAAGTTTAATATCACTCCATCCCCCTTCCTCCGCCTCTGTATTTAGTTATATACTACCCCTAACTGCCAGGTCAAATTTTACGAGCTGCATTTCTGTAGCTGGAAGAGCTGTCTCTGGAAAGAAGCCACTTTTTGGAATGTGCAACTCCTTTAAGGTCTGAAACACTGCTCAATGTCTTTTCAATTCCCAGATGTATCACAAATCCTCTGTATCTAAGAAATAAAGTGAAAGAAATAAAGTGATAGACTCACGCATTACAAGGGAACTTCTATTTAGCAGTAAAGCACTGCACAGAGGTAAGCTGAGCCAGTTAGACAGCATAGCTAAATGCCAAAGCACTGTTGCTTTTGTCTGCATTTTCCAACGCCAGTGTTGCTTTTTAATATACGTGAAAACTGCCCACAACTTACGTTAGATACCTACATTGTGGAGGAGGGGAGAGGTTGTAGATATAATGCTGAATATATAATAAATCTCACTGAGCAAAACTATGCTAGAAAACATGGCTGATCTTTCCTCAACAAAAATTTACATTCTAAGGCAAAGGAAAACTGAGCAAAGGCTAAAAATAGGCAAATCCATCCTAGCTCTCTGACGAGCTCACCTAACAGCAGTACACTGTCCACCACAAAAGTATTATTCAAATATAGAAATAACAATATAGGCAATTCAAAA